GGTCATAAGTCATTTTTTCAGTGCTGTTGTAATGTCAGTCATTAAATGAACTGTTGTAAATCGAGGACTACTTGTATTACAATGTAAAAATATTTGTCTAGAGGTAGACTGCTTATTTAGATTCTGTGATATTTATCAAAGGTACATCCCAGATGAACGGAATGTTAAAGTACAGTGAAATAAAATATTATATCTGGAAAATGCACTGGAAGGCAGTATCTTTCAGAACAGCATTTGGATAAGATATAAACTCCTTCATACTACTAGTTCTTCCCCCACCTCCTAGCCAATCGTTTAACAAATTAATACCATTTTTTAAAGTTCCATCTACAAAGAGACAGAGAAGTGTTAGCTGTTAGGTTTGCATAGCTGCAGTTTAGGTAGACAGGCTGAACATACCTTTTTCTTCTGTTTTATCTGAATGTTTTTTCTAGAACCAGATTGTGCTATTAATATAGGAGGCAAAAGTATGGATTTCGGAATTTTGCCTTCACCTCTGTCCTATTGGAGGAGGCTCATTACAGACAGCCTGATACAGCCCATTCCTCCTTACCCGGGTTTTTTCTGCAGCCCAGTATGTCATGTTCCCCAGGCAATAAGCTGCTTGCTGCCAAAAAAGCTTGTGAGCATTCCTGTGGGAAGCTGCCTGCACTTTCATCTACCTTTGTTAAGGAGCTCCTGAGTTCCTTTGTACTTATGCCTTTCAAAGAATTATACAGCTTTAATATGCATACTACATTATATCCATGGGTTCAAAAATGAAGAAATAAGAAATGAATAATCATGATTGAAAAGCAAAACATCACCTTTATTATTTATACTAATTTTGGTTCTGTGTAATCACGGAACAACTAAAAAGTAGATGAACACATTTATATTCTTTATATGCTAAGATGGGCCTTCCTACCCATTATCTCGATATCCTACCAGCTGTCTATTGTTCTTGACATTTGGCTGAAACAAAAAAGAAAAGGGATTGGTATCAAGTGATAGTTGTCAAATATCTGGCAGTTAATAATACATGGCTAATGCCCTCCGCTTTGCCATTCATGAGCTGCACAGATATGTCTTACAGAATCATGGTTTTCTTTCTCCAGTAACAATGGACTATGTGACTCCAGTTTTTCTTTCCTTCCTGTAGTCATCTACAAACTGCTTGGGAACGATATATTGTTGGCCCTTTCATGCTACCCAGTTTACTTCCAGCAAATTTTGCAGCTGCAGGAAATAACATGATGACTATTGGAAAATAATAACTTAGAAAAACAATACAGCATTATTCAGTATGTTAGAAAAATAGTTAATATAAATGTATTTTTATTTTGGTATCCTCATCTGGAGATGGTAAATTAAAATAATTTACAGTTGTTTGGTTATTATTTGTAAGGGTTGAAGCTGATGAAATGGGAATTAGCACTGCTAAGGCCAGCCAAGACCATTTTGTACTCATGAAACAAACACCTCCAACTGTGCAGACTGGAAAAAAAATAGCCAACAATCTATTGACTTGAATCCTAGGAAACATTTGAGATTAAACCATGGGTCAGGGTAATATTTGTTGTTCAGAATTATGATACCACCAAGAACTAGCAAATACTGCTGATAAATGTAAAATCAAACTTTTGCACAACTGATATTTATTGCTGTGTCTGATGCTAAGTCTATGCTATAACTATTCTATGTAAAAAAGAGAAAATAAAAAATATTCATGGCATTTTATATTTCACTAGTAATCTTTAGTGCCTGATCTGGCAAGCAGTGTTAACCTCCACTCATTACTGAAGACTCAGTGTTCTGATTTTTTTTAAAAAGTCCATTAGAAGTCTTTCAGTGAATTCCTTCTTAAATGAACAACATAATTCAACATAATTTTCAAGAGTTTCATTTTAAGCCAACACTTTATGGAGGTATTCCGAATGTTAAGCATTTTGCTTATTTTAATGACAATGGGTATTTCCTGGTTCCTTACTTGTAGATTAATTCAGGTTATATTCCAAGAAGCAGGGTATAATTGCTTGGGTATAATTTTAGAAGAAATTACATGTGTTCTACATGTAGGCTATTTCAACACTGATTGGATTCACACATTGATCCACTTTTGAAAAGTCTCTAGCTGGGTAGGAATATGATCCAGTTAGCTATATCACATATTCCACTCTCTGAGGGAGATGGGTGGTTAAGAAATGTGAAATATATGAATATGAGAAATATAAGAAATATGAAACATTAATAAGTACATATTCATAGAGATAACTAGAAGCTGCTAGTGAACTGAAGATTTGAAAATGATATGGTGAAGTTATTAAATATATAGGGAGTAATATTTTTGTGAATTGATTTTAATTAAAATTAAATGAAAGTAAATCAGATTTTAGTTTAGGTTCTATCTTTATATACAGCATAGAATTGCACTGCTGGCACAAAGTGCCAAAGGCAAAAAATCCTGTGTCTCCTGTATCAGGGTGAATGTATTGTCTGGCTCAAACCTTACCTATTTTCTGGGCTTCCCAGAAATTCCAGCTTTTTCTCTGGCCATGTGCCAATCAAGAACAGAGATGCCATCCCAGTTTTCTACGCAATTAGTTGCAGGTATTATTTGCTGCCACTTTCTATTTTAATGCATGTCAGTCATCCACACTGAACAAAAGAAAAAACTCTTTACATTTTATTTTCAGACTTGTGATTATAGTATTGTATAATGGAAAACCTGATGATTGGTTCTTGTTGTTAACAATATAGGCAAAATATTAGCCCCCAATGAGCAGTTCAAAAATCAGAAGTACTATATTATTTATTATAAAAGCAAATTTTCTGCTTTACATAAAACTAAAGGCACTTAATTAAAAAAAAATCACCTAATGCTTCTATCACATTTATTTTGGTAGCAAATTCTATTCTGGAATAATTACATTATGTAATATGTAATTATAGATCTTCATTCAAAATTCTGAAATCACAGCCATTTTTTCTCCTATATTCCCTTTTATCCATCAAATGTCCCAATATAGCCCATTATCTTTCCTCAAAATATTTTCTCCCTCCTTTTTGGGTAAGAAGAAACAATTTTAACCTCTAGGTAGCACACAGGCCTATATACATGCTTCTTTGCTTAAGAATAATATTTGACGCATGGGATATTTGTGCATGTTATGGAAAAATGAGGGCACACAAAGATGTCATCGTATATGATTTCTTTGGTCTTGTAGTTCTCAGGGTTACTATGCTTTCCGTACAGCATGATTCTACTTATCATCATTATTAGGTAGAAATTAATACTGTGTTATAGTTTTATCTACCATGGTTTAAAAAGATGCTTGGTCCTGTGTGGTCTTCGGCTGTGGAATTCTGTCTAGGAAGTTTAGATGAGAGCTATTTCATTTCATTCTTCCATGGCTTTCTCACCTGTTGTCCTACTTATAAAGATTGGCCTGTAGGAAATATTTTAAGAGCATTTGACAATATAGAACTTTAGAATCAGTAACAAAGCCAAATACAAAGCTTTGGTTTGATCATATAAATAGTCCCCGACTTAGAATCAATCATTCATTGTGATCATTTAGTTACAGCCACACTGAAAAAAGTGACTTATGGTCATTTTTCACACTTATGACTGTTGCAACATTCCTGTGGTCACATGATCAAAATTTGGACGCTTGGCAATTGGCATGTCTATATGACAGTTGCAATATTTGGGGTTATGTGATCACATTTTGTGACCTTCTGACAAGCAAGATCAATGGGGAAGCCAGATTCACTTAACAACCTTACAACTAAATTACTGCAGTCAGGGCCGGATTTTCCTATAGGCTAACTAGGCTTCAGCCTAGGGCCTCAAAATCAAGAGGGGCCTACATTCAAATTGTTAGCAAAATTAAAATTACACTATTCTAAAAACAGTGAACACTAAAACACTGAACCGAAAATAAGGAGAAATTCTACGCATATGACTAATAAACAAACATAAAAATGTATTGGTTAAGATCGTTCCAGCGGCGCGGCAGTTGGGGAGCCTGCCTACGTTCCCAGCACCGTTGGTCGGGCGAGAGGTGCGGCTGCTCCCAGTAGCTGCCCCGTCGACGCGGAGCCCACCAGCGGCCAGGCAGGTGAGGGCGAGGGGGCCGAGCCGGGCAGCTGAGCGCAGCAGGGGAGGCGGCTGGCCTCACTGCCTTTGCCGCAGAGCAGAGCCACCCTCCGTCGGGAGGCCAGCTATATATATTGATATATATCACAGTAATGATGTATTTTATTGTCTCTCATGTAATTTACAAACTTAAAAAAGGGAGGTGAAAGGGCCTCCTAAGTGGAACAGCCTAGGGCCTCTTTTCATCTAAATCCAGCACTGACTGCAGTGATTCAATGTGGCAAGAAAGATAGTAAAATGGGGTAAAATTCATTTAACAACCCGTCTTGCTTAGCAATGGAAATTTTGGTCTCAATTGTGTTGTTAAGTGGAAGATGCATTTACACATCAAAGATTTCCTCGCTAACTTTTAACACTGCATTCTGGAGCTGAGTGTTCATTTGCGAGAAAAAATCTAGAAAAACCTCGATGAACAATTTGGTGAGCAAAAAATTACTCATGTGCCCTGTTAGTGGGGAAGATGTCCTGATATATACAGCATTACCCTAAATCCCGTTTATAGAAGCAACTTCTGAAAGAACACGCACTTTTTAAACGAAACACGCTGCTTCGCGTTTCTCACAAGAGTGGGAATCATGCAAACATTTTTCGGCCACTGGGTGGTCACGGAGAAAGATTTGGGCGATCTCACCGCTACCGTACTTCGAAATGCCGGGACGCGATGCACCACCCCGCAAGCGCCCGGGAGGACAAAGAAAGCGCGAGCGTCCGCCCCTCCCTTTGCTTCCCCGCCCCTCCCACCCCGAGATCCTCTTGCCCCCGCCTCTCCTCTGCTCGAGCTGCCTGCTGGCCTGTCTCCTAGCAACCGTCCGCGTGCCGCCGCCGCTTGAGCAGGAAGGGCGCAAGCGAGGGAAGCGCCATGGCTGAGGTTCCCAAAGGCAGAGCGCGATCCCCGACTCTGCCTCCCCCGGCCCCCGCCATTTTCTATGGCTCTGTGGATCCGAGAAACCCAGTGGTTCACCGATTCGAGTCCGACCTGAGCGATTGCCTGGGCCTCCTCAAGCGGAAACGGGAAGCGGGGGCCGCGAGCTCCAAGGATCAGGAGCTGCACAGGCGAGGGTAAAGCGGAGAGGAACCTTCTGCTAGTTTCCCCCAAAGCCCCACGTCTCCGTCTCCTTCCCCAGGGGCGACTCCCTCCTTTCCCATCCTTCTTTCCCTGTGTAGCAATTTCTGGTTCAGCGTAAGTCACCTGCATTTGCATGCCAGCCTCTTAACGGCGGCTGTCGAAAAGCTAAGCAGGGTCGGACTTCGTTAATAGTCGGGTGGGAAAGTAGCAAATAATCCGGGAAAATGAAAAACAATAAACCTTCCGGAAAAGCTTGTGGCTAACCCCATTTATTGTCAAGATAACAACACGTCTTAGATAAACACCAGGAGTTCAGCATGACTCAAGGGAGACTTTACCTTTTAAAACTATGGAAAACAACAATTTTGAAAGTTGATGCTGTCATTGCCATTTCCCCTCCTCCCCTCCTCTACCTGGAATATTTAGGCAGTAAGAAGAGTTTATCAAATGATGTTTCTCCCATCGGTGAAATATTTTATTCTAGTCTGTTGTGAAACTGTACCAAAGGCAGAAGAGCCTTACAAGGAGAGGATGAAAGAAAGATAATTTGATTTTTTTCTTTAAATTAATTTATTTGATTACTGCATTACTAAAGCCATACTAGGTATTTCTTATATGGTTTGGCTGTATTTGCACATGAAGAGTTATAATTTTTCACAGAGCCCATATCAATTGTATTTTTTATTTGTTGAATTGGAACAAGGATGCGTTTAGTTTTCAAAAACTGGATTCTTCCTAGAAGTTGCAAACGACAGGTTGGAAACCACAGTATCAAGTTCCTAGAAGTTGCAAACCATATATTTCCTATATAATCATGTATCACATAGAGTTGAATTAGGTAAATTAACAAACTGTAATAATACTATTTCAAGTGCAGTTGATATGTTTACCTTTGGAGGCCAATGAGGAATGAGATGACAAAATGTCAAGTGTCCTGGTTATGGTTTATCGAGGGTCCCCCCCCCCCTCCCCAGACCTTCAGTGAATTTCTTGTATGTCATTCTACTAGTTGTTTATTCATATCATTAGCATTTGCATGAGTAATCTGGTTGAAATAAGAGTTATATCAATTGTCAGAGTGTATAAAACGACCAGAATAAAATTGCTATCTAGTAGTTTCATTATTTTTAGTTTAGGAGTTGCTGTAGTAATTAGCTTATAGAAAAATATATATAATTTTTTAGAAATGAAGGAGCAAGTGATGGAAGTCTGATTTAAAATAGTCTCAAGCTGATGGGAATCATCGTTCATCAGATATGGATGTTGCTAGGCTGAGATAGGCTGCTTTACAGCTTTCAGAAACCACTTTATTCCTAAGTGAATATTATTATTTATTTCTAAAAATTAGTTTCCCTCCTATTTCCCCCTTTCAGGTAAGAGACCAAATGGCCAAGTCAGCTACAGTCATGCTTCCTAGGTCCCACTACTAGGCTTTAACATTTGAGGAAAGAGAACTGGAGTGTGCTCACCCTATCTAACTTGGTGGAAGAGCAGATATTCTCAGGAAGGAGTAGTCCCTCTAATAATCTGACCCTGTGTCATGTAGGGCTTTTAATGGTAATAGCCAGCATCTTGAATTGCATCTGAAAAGCAATTGGAAGCCAGTTCAACCCACCAGTGGTATAACATGGCAAACTGCAGAGGGCCCAGATCTGCTCATGCAGTTGTAGACCGATGATTGCTTTCATAAAGGTCTCATGGAGAGAATGTTATAGTGATACAATTTTGGAAGTGTTTTAGTTGTTGCTTGTTTTTTTGTGATGCATGTCAGCATAAAACTATCTCTTGATTTTTAGAGTTCCAACGGTGTATTTATTTCTGTTGGACCTCTTTTATTGCTTCTGTTGTTTTTCCAGCTTTTGTTATTAAAATCTACTGTTTACTTAGATCACAAGGAGATTTTATGGAAATAGTATTTTGATATTTTATGGTGGTGTCTAAAACTTCTGCAGACAAATATCAATCAAATGATAATTTAATAGGTTAAAATACTTCGGATATCTTATAAATGTTACTGTTATTTATAACTTTTTTGATCTTCAAGTCAGAGTTAACTCCTGGTAACTGCTTGGAATAGTCCCTGCAGTTTTCTTGGCAACATTTTTTGGTAGTGGTTTGCCACTTTCTAAAGCTGAGAGAAAGCGATTGACCCAAAGTCACCCCACTAGCGTGTCTCAGCCAGAACTCAAGTCTCTTGGTTTCCAGCTTGATGCTTAGCTACTAGATGAAATTGGTGTTAATATATATGACTTAAATATCTGTTACTTTCTAAACATTTATAAACAGTTTTCATTGTTGGCATACTTAGGAATTCCAGTAAAATATACTGTAGCACCACTGTCTTATTGCCATTCTAAAAATATTAATCTGACAAGATTATTATCGTATCTCTCAATAAGTGATTTTCTGTGGTGATTTTTTTTATTTAGAACCACTTCTTTGTTCAATATCTGGAACAACTATAGGCCTCGACTCCCAGATTGGTATTACAATGAAACACTTGTAAAAATTGGTGATCAGCTTATGGAAATGAAAGTAAGTAATGATTCTGATGAATCACTTTTATTAGATTTCTGTTACATGTGTAGGCATGAATGTTCGTCAGCTTGTGCAAAATGATGTTTCGTATATAACATTTTAATTCAGTTGGGTTCAGTTCAGTTCAATTTTACATAGCAGGAATTGGGAGATGCAAACAGGATTCTGCTGTAAAGAGAAGGGGGTTCTATTGAATATCAGGGAACTGTGAAACAGATGGGAATAATGGTAGAAAGTTGCAAGAAGAAAAGGGAATTGATAAAAATTACTATACCCCATTTCTTTAAAAGGAATGTCCACTTTTTCTCAGAAACAAACTCTATATGCAGATATTTCAAGTATTAATTTCAGCAAACATACTATCTTAAAATGATAAGTTTTGATTGAAATATTTTTTTAATTTGAAATTATTTCACACTGCCTGCTTTCAGCATTTTATAATCTTAAAGATGATTTAATTGCCTCATCTTAGCCTTACATCATTTTGGAAAACTACTACTATATGATTTTGTATTCCCAATTTTGATCCCTGTGTCTTCCATTTTGTGTATAGGTAGTCCTTGACTTATTCATTCATTATCTGTTTGAAGTTTCAGTGACACTGAACAAATGATGATCATGACTGATCTTTAGAGTTCTTGCCATTCCAACACACACACACACACACACACACACACACACACACACACACACACACACACACACACGTGACACAATTGTGATCTGGGTGATTGGCAACTTATGATCACTTTCAGTGCCCTCATGATTGCCATTTGCAACATTCCCTGCTGTCTTCCCCAGAAAGCCACTGTCCATCTGCACACCCTGTTCCAGTCCCTTTGTACTCATTTTTCATTGGCCACTCATGCCACCCCCCTCCCCCACCCTCATGCAGTCTTTCCAACCTGCACTGTGCTTCTTACCCAGCTCCTAATCCTTGCACCCTCCCTTGCTGTTGCTGCATGCACCACCTTGTTCCTTCATGCATCTTTTCTGACCTTCACCGTGTGTCCCTTATATCAGCACACACACCGTTGCTCCCTCTACCATCCAGCAGCAGCCACTTCTGCATGCTGGCCTCCGAGTTTCAAATATCTTGTTGGCTTCTCCACTGATGTGGATGGGGAATCTGGTTAAAAATTGCTTTGTGTAATGACTATGGGATATGATTAACAATGACAGCTCTTCAATGGTTGTCACTTAGCAATGAAGCTGTGCTTTATGACTGCACCACTTAGGGATGGAAATTCTGCTGCCAATTAGCATCATAAATTGAGGACTATTTGAATATATTTAATATTACTTAAAGATATCTATATTAACTTATTATTTTATTCATATTTGTTTTTGATATTTAATTCAGATTTGTATGAAATCTACTTATGATTCTTATTCAAGGTATTATGCCTCTTAGTGTGTCTATCCTTTATTCTACCTAAGCCATAATGTAATTTAAATTGTTTTGCTAAATTAAAGTGTTTGGGTTTACACAGCACCAAGTCATAAACTGTAAACCATTTAAACGTAGTACATGCAATATACTGATCTAAAGTCAATAAACTATCTGATGGCTATTACTATGTATTAACTCAACTAGTATTCAGTTGCTATGAAATATGAGCAGTAGAGATAATTTTACTAATTTTGTTTGTATTAATGTTTCTTCTCAGTGAAAGTATTTTAAAAAGTTTACTTGAGACTGCTCTTATTTAGAATAAAGAAGAATTTAGTTTTAAAGCTACCAAATAAATAACAAAGTATCCCCATGTCTTTTGTACTGTATTAGCTGTATTCATCAGCCTGGTTTCCTAACTTATAATATTTGCTTACTTGAAAATGAATTCCAGTGGATTCAGTTGTTATATGAGCTTATTGAACTTTAAATGTTTAAGTTTAAATATTCAATGTGTGTGAAACAACTGAATTAAGTATAATTAATTTTCAAGTGAGTATTATAATTATTGCATTTTATCCTATCTGTTTGTGTACAATTATCTATTAACAGTTTTATGGAAAATATATGTAAAACATATTATTTTTGTTTTCAGGAACATAAGCTAGCATTTTTGTATTGCTATGAGCAGTATCTTCAACAAATTAGTGGTATAAATATAAACAAACATGGATTAGATGCACATCAATTAAAGTCTATTTTTTTCCCAAATGGATTTAGAGATCAAAGTGCTACACGAACAGTGAGTATTTACAACAGCTGTTAATGTTATTTAATCTTTCTATAATTTGGCATTAGTCAGGCTTCATGAAATAGGCCATGAATATGGCCCATATATTGCAAATGCATTGATTTGATGAGAAGATGATTCCACTTCCTTCTAGGAACAAGTTCAGAAAAATGAGAGCAGAAAGAAAATATAACTAATGTTTTCTTTCCTTTGTAAAATCCATTCATGAATTCTGAGAGCAAAGTATTAGAAATGTAATTTTCTCTTTCCCTCCCATAATAAATTTCTGGATTTTGACAGTAAAGTATCTTGGATTACAGGTAGTCCTTGTTTAGGGACCCACAGTTGGTATAAGTAATTTGGTTGCTAAGTGATGTAGTTGCTTAGTGAAAAATCATGTGACCACCACGACTATGATTATGTTTTAATTTCAGCTTTCCTTTCCCCCCACTCCTCCACCCTTTGAAATGTTCATGCTGGGACTGGCATAATTAGCAAGAAGGGATTTAAATGTTTGTGTTTGCATTCATTGGAAAGGAAATGATTACAAAAGAGTAAACTGACACACAATGGGGAATACAGATTGAAAGAAATGCGCTAGAACGAGTGGTTATTCTTTGGTCTTCCTGCACATCGACTTGCCTTGCTATTCACCCTTGGCCTTCATGCATGTGTGCTGTACTATTTCACCAATCCCTGGCCTTCGAGTGTGCATGGGCTGTGCTGCAGTACCCTTACTTCCCCTGCATCCCCCAACTCATACATGGTCTGCATTGGGTCTTCCAATCTCTCTCAGCTTCCCCAAACTCATGCTTCGCCTATGCTGGCCTTTCCCTGACCTTTCCCAGCTGCCATTGCACATTTCCACTACCTCCATATTCCTCTGCATTCTTCTGCTCCTTATCTGGGATTCCCACTGCTTCCCCATTTAACCTGAATGTCTTGAGATTAAGATGGCCACCAGGACTCAGATTGTTAGGGGTAATATGCTGACTCTTGTAAACTGCTTAGAGAGTTATGACGTGGTATATGTCGAAGTGCTATTCTAAATGCTATTACATGAATGATCTGAGTACTGTTGGAAGAAATATCCATCTCGTTCAGTTCCAAGTGGAGAGAACGACACTGAAAACATGGAGGCTGCTTGGAAAGATGGTGTAATGGTGAAGCAGAACCACCAAGCATGTGTGATTCTGGATAGCTGACCACTTCCTGTTCCTGTGGCAAGAGCATGTATTGGTTGCTGCCAGACTCCCATAGGGCTATGCAGGGATCATAGCTAATTTTGTAGGTTATCTGAATCAAGCTTGATCTTTTGTTTTGTAGATAGTCTGGCCCAAACTTTCTTAATGGGCCCCAAATATCTGCTGGGGCAGGGAGTTTCTGTTTCCCTTAAGATTTCTATTTCTCTTTTAGGGGAAATACAATATTCTGCCTTTTTAAATATTTTTCAAAATATTTCATTCTTCTAGGAGGGATGACTTCTCTCAGTACTATTGGTGGGGGTGATAAAAGAATTGGAAAAAGCTATAGAAATCAGATTGACATATTTTGATGATATATTTCTGATTTCAGTAATTTCTTATCATTCATCTTAGCTCCATGTTCTGCAAGCAAGGAATATTTGCCTTTATAAAATAGTCTGTGATAAAGATGGTGATCTCCTAAATCAAGACTCTGTGAAGACATGTTTTAACATTTTAACCATACTGCAACTCATCATGCAGATAACTTTGCCCCATGAACATTTATGTTGGATCGTCTACAATGGTATGCCACATTTTTAAAACTCTGCATGCAGTCCTAAATATTAAATATTGTCTTATGCCCCATATTGGAGGAATCTTTTGAAATTTCAAGATTTCCTTTTTGAGAGTTTATTTATTTATTAAATTTGTTTGCCACTCACCTTGCTTTGAAGCAACTCTTTTTAAATGGTTAAATCATCTGAAGAAGGATTTCACATTTCTCTTTACCTTTAATAATATTGTGCATCATATTTTCCATTTTGATGGAAATGTAATGGGATATTGTGTTTTTAAAAAAATATTAACACTAGTATGTAAAATGTGTACAGCTAAGGATAGTTCTTATTTTGGAATTGCTGATGTTTAGGAAAAGCATCATAAAACTATTTACTATGGAGATATTTTAAAAGGATGATACATTATATAGTATCAAAAATTTTATTACATATAAGATTGTGTACATTGTTGATAATATATTTGAATTGTAGAAATGATAACAGCTAGGATGTAAAATATTGCACCATTTAAATCAATATTTTTGGTTCATTTTTAAATGAACATGAGGTTGGCTAAAAGTAAAGATAGTTTCTAATGTATTCACAAAATTCATCACAATAAAGAACTATGGTGTTTATATGTTAAAATATTTTTTCTTATAGGTACAGTTCATATGTATACCATATGTAGGCACTTGATGACTATAGGCCAATCAGCTAAGGTACATAAAATAAAATATAAGCATTTATCTGTCTGCTTGTTCCTTATCACAATACTTTTAAAATTACTGTTCATTGTGTGTTGGGAAATGTTTGAACCTTTATTTGCATTACAAATATATATTATTAAAATGCATTCCTTACATAACAATAAGAAATCAAAACTTATTTTTTGAATAGGAAACTTTTAACCCACACATCTATAGAGATAATTAGGAAGATAGATATGTTTGCTCCAGAAGAGAAACTTCACTTATAAAAGGTGGGGGGAATGCTTTGGCACGGATCAAGTTTAGAAACAAGTAAGAAAATTGGGAATCCATTTTCAGAATGACTGCCTTGTCATTTTAATGTATTATTTATTAATCATATTTATTGTCTTTGTATTTAAATATGCATTAGTATTTGAGGAAAGCTCCAAAAGAGTCTTGTGCATCATTGGCCATGACCTGGTACTGGTACTGTTTGGAATTGGGCCTTGTGAGTGGCAGGTGCACAGCTCCATTTGCATGAACAACAGGTACTCACGCTTACGTGTGACGCTTCATTTGTGCCTACGCTTGCGCAAACGGAGCTGTGCATGCAAGCGTGTGTGCCTGCTACTCACACGGAACCATTTCCTCTCTTCCCCCGCCGGTCAGCAAAGACTGGAGACCTCTGGGCTAAATGACTTGTGATGGTGTTTTTTGTTACAAGAATATGTACTTGCCCTTTGTGACTGTTGAGAGAGTTCTTATCTCATGCCAGGAGAAAGCATGATATTATCAGCAAGGCTGTGGAAAAAACTGATTCAGAATATTTTATCTTGCCCCTTTTGATTTGTGGTTGATTTGTGAACAAAATGTCAAATTAGGACTTGCTGGGCTATGAATCCACTTTTCTTTAAAAGCAATTTAAAGTTTTGATTTTTTCTTTTTCTTTTTGCTGACTACATAGGGCTGGTAGCTCTTTAGGGAAGTTCAAAAGCAAATAATAGTATTTAAATAAAGAGTATAAAACTTGCCTTAAGAATGTGAGAACTAAGATGGGTTCAGAACTATAAAGATGGGATCATGGAATATTTATAAAATATAATATATATATATATATATAGTCCTGTTCATATTGTTATTATTTTGTGCTTTCATATATTCAAAATAAACTTAGTATATAAAAATAGAATGCAGCAATTTGCAATATAAAAATTACATGGTTATATAGAACAGTGTTTTTCAACCTTGGCAACTTGAAGTCCTGACATCTTCAAGTTGCCAAGGTTGAAAAACACTGATATAGAAGACTCTTATTGTATTAGGTTGAAGTCTAGTGCCATCTAGTGGCTACTTTTCATAATTACATTTTTTGTCTTTAACTTGAAAAGAGTTGGTTAAAAAGATACTGTACTGTAGTCGCCTTCATTACTATGTAGGATAATTTTAAACAAAAAAAATATTAATTTTAGAAATCAGACAAACCAATAAATTTTCATTATAAAAGGAGAAATATCATTAGTTCTCTTCCAGTATCTAAATTTTGATTTGCCTTTGGGGACCAGGCAATTGCTCTTAACAAACATGATAGATTTTTCTCTTTTTAGTATCCAAATGTGTACATAGAGATTAAATTAACTTTCTTGACATTCTATTTTGAATGTAGCAAAATTAGTATTTTTCTGATCAATTTGTCATTTCATGAAAAGCATTCTCATTTAGTAATGATTAATACGTACATACGTATATATGTGGGTGGCTATGGGTGTGCGGATGCGCACATGTTCCTTCGATTCAGTATTGATTTCTGGTAATTGCCTTGTCTAGTTCCTATAGTTTTCTTGGCCAGGCAGGACAAGTTAAACTATCATTCTCTGATAACTTAATGAATGAATTAGAAAAAGAGATGCACCAGAAAAAAGTGTTTTTCCAGTGGTGGGATTCAAATAATTTAACAACTGGTTTTCTGCCCTAATGATTTCTTCCAACAACCAGTTCACCAAACTGCTCAGAAAGTTAAAAAGTTCTCCTGAAGTGGTGCGAACTGGTTGAATCCCACCACTGGGTGTTTCTGTATTGATAAAGATACTTTATTAGAAGTAACCATCAATTTATCTTTGTATTTAACTACTAGTTACTAGCTCTAAATGAAGAATTTGAATATGTATACTTCTATATTCTAAATACTCCAAGGGCCTAATTATCATTAAAATAAACCAAGCTTTCAGTCCCTCCCTTCAATTTAAAACTGAACTTTGAGATATGACTTAGGACTTTCTTTATGTGAAAACACTAGTCCCTAATTTTATGATTGAACCTGGGAAGAGTCAATTGTCTCTGAAGTTGTGTTGTATTTGAGAAGAGAATGTAAGGGTATTAACTGAACTTAAGCGACAAACAACATATCTGAAGAAGGTTTGTGATTTATACACTCAAGCTTGGTAGCCAAAAGTAGTCAAAATTCGATCTATAATTTGAAATGCATATATTAAAATGTCAAAATAATAATCAGTCTGGCTTATTAATAAAGGGATCATTTTTAATAGGTGCTGGAATATTTATTGTGGGCATCAGTATGTATGGAATCATCAATTCCACTTTTAGCTGTACACTATTTGACATGGAGAGCCACTCTGTATGCTGCTGTTTGTCAGTGTTACTATGATTGCCAATCTGGTATACATGGAGAGGTAATAATCTCTATTTTAACTTTTATTAAAAATATAAAAGATACTGCTGTTTGAGCTGCTCTCTAAAGCATAGCTAGAAGGAGTTCTTTTGTGTTATATTCCTCATTTAGGATAGGAATAGTTTACATTAATATTTGGGATTTATCAGTCTACATTTAGGATAGAAATCATGTACGTGGAAATTTAGGATTTTAATGCATTCTTTATAGGAAATTGATTAACTGCCTATGGCATTTTTCCTTTTTTTGCTCCCCATTCTTTTGACTTATAAGTGTTATCAGATTTGGGTTTCAATGCACAACCAGCTTATTACTACTTTTTTAAATTAGTAGGGACATCATTTTTATTTGTCCCTTCTAATTTCTTGCTACCATGGGACATTGATTGTTTTTGGTATTAATAATCAAACAAGTTTTTTCTATCCTGCCTATAAATTAAATTCTCATCTGCTTTTTTCCGCATTCATTATTTGTTATATGCCCAATGTAGTCTCCCTAATGTGTTTCCAGTTTTGCTCCGTCTATTTGCTCATGGAGTCAAGTTAATTGGGACATTTGAGCAGAATGACATTTGCATCCCAGGTATTGCCAGTGTTCCCAAAATCCTCTCCCAGCCTTGTTCCCTTTAGTACTTGTAATGTGTCTCTATGATAGGATGTGGAGTGTTGCATAGAACATCAATCGGACTGCTAGGTTAAAATGGACAGACAGTATTGCCATTTCCTTTCTCTATCTGTTGTTTTCTTATTAAAAAGGCAAAATTTCAAACGTGCGAAAGTTTCAGAGTGTGTTTAATAAATGAATGAATGTATTATGTTGTAGGTATTTGCACGGCGTGGTTTGATTAAAATTGATGAACTAAAGCAAATGGAGTTTATGAGTTCATCACCTCTGAGTACAGAAACAAAGAAAAAATTCAAAGAAGCAACTGTAAAGGTACATAGTTTTCATAAAGATTACCATAATTAAAAACAGAAGTAATATAATAATTATGTATTTCTTCACTTTGAGCCAGATGGCAGCAATGATTTTTAAAAGAACAGTATTTGAACCAAGAAGGCGACCAAAAGGAGTTCTGAGACCAAGAATAAAAGCTAATCTGAAAGAAGCACAGCATGTAAGTTTTAGGAATGTTGGCTTGTCCTGGCCAGGAATAGGAACTCATGAAGGTGACTTTCCTGTCTGTCTGTCTGTCTGTCTGTCTGTCTGTCTGTCTGTAACTAAATCCCTTTGAGCTCAGTGAGACTTATTCTCAGGTGAGTAGATAGAAATTATAGCATTAGAATACCTGTTTTGTAAAGATTTGGGGCTCAACTGAAGGCTTTATAATATTGATTCTGTCCCTTCTTGAAAAATGGAACTCTTTAAAAAGAGATATTTGCATTGGAACCTAACTCTTCCTTCTGCCAGGTGTTATTTTTTCGTGCTGACCAATGTTCCCTCTAATTTTTTTTCAGTGTGAGCGGAAAAGTATAGTGTTTGAGCGGCACAG